TGATAAACTCGATTCGGATTTTAAACACGAGTCGGGTCAAATGACCCGGGTTTGACCCGACCCTTTCGGAACACTAACCATGTGTCGTAATTTTACTATTTTGAGTCAAATAAAGAAGTCTTTTTTGCGACATTTTTAGTTTATTTATTTGATTTACTTTTTTTTTCGAATCATCACAATTATATACGTTGGTTTAGTATATATAGTAAGACAAATTATTATTATTTTATTGAAACAAAATCCTTACATTTCAAAATGAATCGCGAAGAAATAGAGGATAAGAAGGTCTCGGAAAATGATTTTCAACAGCAACAGCAACAGCAGCAGCAACAACAATTCATGCAACACCCTCAGCAGTTTTTAGAACAAGGCTCAAATCAACAATTCCATCAGCAGCAATTTCAAGAAGAGAATATGCAATTGCAAAATCCGCAACGCGTGCAACATCAGCAGATTTCGGAAGAAAATTTGCAACATCAGCAACATCAGCAATTAACGCTGCAACAACAACTTTCTCCACAACAAATTTTGCAACAACTCGAACAATTATTTCACAAGTTGCTAGGCCTCTATAACCGGCAGCAAAAAGCTTTGGAAATTCTCCAATTTGTACTGAAACAACAACATCCTCAACAATCCTTACAAGAGCAATATTTCTTAGAAAATCAACAAGAATTCTTACAAATATTCAAACAACAGCTGGAAGTCTACAATGCGTATGCTTTTAAAATTCAAGATCCTAATTACCTACCGGTTAATGACCTAAAGATCACTAATGGTAATGGTAATATGGATAACTCAAACTACTTTGATAAATATGAAGAATTGAAAAATAAGAATAAGCAATTGGAAAAAGAATTGAAAGAAATTCAAAATAAATCTAAGCGAAAATCAAGTAGTTATTACGGATTTGGAGGTTTGTTTTCTACCGATCAGCAAGAAATTAGCGACCTTAAAAACAAATTGCATAATCTTCAAATAAAAAACCAAAATGTTGAGGCAGTCTTAAGTGAAAAGGTTGATCATATTAATGAATTGAGAAAAGCTAATAATGACTTAAAGAAAGAAGCTACTAAGTATCAATCAGCTTTGGGTAATGCAACAAGTTTTCATCTTGGAAGTCAAGATTCCAATAGTGGCGTTCAATTTTCAGAAGACATCCGTGCTTTGCACAGCAATTTAGAGAAAATTTGTGGGCTTAAAAAGGTGTTGAAATAAACGAACCGGAAGTGAAAGGGCTCTTGGAAAAGTTTGGTTGTTCACCCACCGGCGATTTGCGTAAAAATAAACCTTTGATATCTGGCTTATTAGAACGGCACGTGATCGAGACCATAATTAAAAAGGCCACAGAATACTTTTATAATCAAAAGAATGATGTTGACAACAAAAAAGATGAACAAGATGACGAAATTCAACAACAGCAAAGTTTAGAAATGAAAATATTTAATGTAACTGAACAACTATTGAAATTAACAGATTCAATTTCAAAAAATCGCGCTGGAGGTGAGAAGGTTAGCAAAGCTACCTCAACGAAATTACGCCAACAAATTTATGGTGTTCTTGGAAATCGTGGATTTTCCAATATTATTTTAGACAAAGAACACATAGAACATCCATTGATTGTAAATTTACGAAAAGATATTATAAAATTAGTTAATCGCTATCGTACTATTAAAGATCCAAACAGATCGTCTGAAAATGAAAAGTTAATCGTTGAGATCGTCAGACAAGTTATTAATGTATTTTTTTTCAGATTAAAAGTGCAAGAACCTATTGCCGATTGGAAATTTTTTGAAAAAAATACAAATATCAATACTATAATGATGGAAGCATCTTGGGACGAAATGGAACTTGAAGATTTACATGTTGATGCTTGTGCGTTTCCAATAATTGGGTCTAATCTTTGTGAAGTTGAAGAAGCTGATGAAAAATTGAAAGCGATCTTTCCGGCGCAAATTATACCTGGCAATACCACTGAAACGAAATAGTTAGCAGCATTTTCTCCCTCTTTTTTTTTATTATTGTTATTTGCTTTTTTTTATATTTACAAATTTAAATATCATTTTTTTATTATTATAATTATTTACTATTTTAATAAATTAAATTAAAAAAAATACTTTAAAAAAAATGTATTCGATGAAAGAATTTATCCCATCGGTATTATATATACACCGATGGATTTTTTTGTCAATTACTCCACTGGTTTATAATATGACATGATATATTTATATTAATACGACAATTAAGAAATACATGGTTATTATACTTATTCAAAATGTGTATTTAAATTTATAATATCTAATTTACTAGTAATGAATATGTGAAAGTGTACATCTTTACATCTTTAACTGTGCTTAGAATTGAACATTATGATGTCCTGTACATGTATATTCAATTTGGATTTTCTTTTTTTCGCGTAGAATTAGAAATGCTTGTCGTTTCTTAGCTTGTAATATAAAATATAAATATTGTATCAATAAATTTCCTTTTTTATTTGTAATGTTACATTTTTGCAAGGTTTAATTGACTCTTCATTTATAATAGTTATGCACAGATTCTGTTTCGTAATTTATGCCTTTTAACTTCTTTAGACATGCAATAAACCTAAAAAATATCTTCAGGAAAAAAAGAAAATGTATATAGACAAAAAAAACCATCGGTGTATACATAATACACAATGAGATAAGCCTGTTATTCCATACTTCGTTACGGATTACTTAGGTTATTCAGAGTTAATATGAAAATTACGTGTGCTTACGCGCATGTGACTTATATATATAACCCGTGAATAACCTAGTTACCCTTCACTACGTATGGAATAACAAGTATTTATTCCTTTATTTTTAAATTACAGTTTGGATTTTTTTTTAAAAAAAATTCTGTACGACTTAAATGTTTCTAATCAGTGTAATGTGATATCTCTCCATTATCACGCAGTTGTTTTGTTCTCGTGGAAATGCTCATTGAAATTAAATTTATTAATGCATATAATGAATGATAAAAGTAAATATTTAATTCATGGAAATTGAATGCATTTTATTGCTGTACAAGAATTAAAAATAGGAACGCCCCAAAAAAACATTGCCATCGATGGGAACTTTGACAAATTATAAGTATCGCCGCCATATAGCCACATTTCTTATTATTCTCCGAACATTTTTTTTTTAATTTCAGCACATTTAATCATCATAAATAATACTTTCTTTTTTTACAAAACATGGAAATTCATTTTTTTCAGGCTCAAGTTTACACATTCGAATATGAGCCTGCTAAATTAGAGGACTTACGCGTAGTTGTCGGAGTAGGTGAGCATATAATACCAAAAGATATCTTTCAGAATTTGGTTTTCTGCATAATAAACGTTGTTCTTATCTTAAAACACAGATTTCGGCACAACTTTTTCGGTATTGTTCTTAATCACTAAGTACTGTTCTAAAATTTTTAACTTTCAATCTGATATTTTGTCATTTTCATTTGCCGCCTTTTTCAGGGATTTTCTTACGCCTACATTCAAGACAATAAGGCAAAAACAGAAATTGTAGTGAATGAGGAGTGGGGAAATTTTAAAAGTACTAATAAAACCAATACTGTATTACAATACGACGAAAACAATGGAGTTGTCACTTGGGGAGCTGATGTCTTAAGTTCTGAACCAAGTAGAAGGAAAAAATTTAACAATAAACTACCAAGGCCTGTTGAATACTTTAAATTTTATTTAGGAGATGTTCCTGAAAGCAAAAAGCCAAAATTACCATCTGGAATTACTTTTGAAAAAGCGATAACCGATTATCTTCGTCAAATGGGTATTGACTTTGTTTTTTCTTACATATATATCACTTGATTGATTCTTAAAATAAAAATAAACTTACTTTTTTCATTCCTAATTATTTTTTTAAAAAAAGGAAAGGTACGATGATAAAAATAAATTGTGATTCTTTGTTTATACGCTATTGGATTGATCTAATTGAACTAATTTTTAGACGATGATAGAGAAAATCGAGAATCATTGGCCCGGAATTAATTTTTACAATAATGTTCGACTTGTTTTTACCGTACCTGCCGGTAAATTTATAAGTTCTTATACAGAATAAATTATATATACGCAAATTTTTAACGATAATCATTATAATTTAGAATTCAACGAGAATTCCAAGACAATTATGAGAAGGTGCATATACAATGCCGGCTTGATACAATCTATTGGCACATTAAATCTTCAATTTACTACTGAACGTAAGAGGAGTGTTAATTTTCAAAAAATGAAAATATATAAGATTTTATTTTTCTAATATCTTGTTCTTATCTTTAGCGGAAGCTGCTGCGATTCATTGCATGAATAGGTTGAAAGAACTCAAATTAACGACTGGAGGTATTTGTTAATAGTAACTTCAACTTATCTTACCTTATAATTATGAAAATATAAATAAAATTTTTATTGGGTTATTTAACTTAGCAAAATATTTGGTCGTCGATTGCGGTGGAGGAACTGTGGATTTGATAGTTAGAGAATTATTAGCTGATAATCGATTAGCAGAAACAACAGTACGAACAGGTGATTTTTGCGGTGGTACCTACGTCGATGACGAGTTCCTAAAATTTCTCGAGCGTAGAGTAGGTAAATCTGCAATGAACATGTTAAAGGAGAAACACTATGGTCAAATTAATTATCTTGTGCATAAATATTTTTGTCCTGTTATTAAAATTCCATTCGCTGGTGAAAGGTCCAAATTCAAAGATATTTAATTGGATATTGAGAAAAAATGTCCTGCAATTAAGCAATATGTCACTGGATCAGAAAGAGAGCAACTGTCAGAAGTTGATGAATGGGTTATTGATCTTGATTTTGATACTGTGAAATCGTTTTTTGATCCGGTTGTTAACAAGATTTTGAGGTTGATTGATATGCAGTTATCGAGATGTTCGAATTGTTCAGTATTGTTTTTAGTTGGAGGTTTCGGTGAATCAAAAATATCTTCAATATAGAATTAAAGAGAAATTTGGGAAAGTTTTGGAAGTAGCAAGTATGCTCACTTTTAATTTTAATTTTAAAATTTTTTTTAAAAAAGAAATAAAATAAAACGATTAATGTATCATTATTTCACATTTCAGTTCCACCTAGCCCGGCTGCTGCAATTGTAAAGGGCGCCTGTGAATATGGTCTAGATATGAAAACCGTAACCACTAGAGTATTAAAATGGACTTATGGAGTTGAGGTTTCTAAAATATGGGTAAGTGTCTTTTAAAAAAATAACCAAAATGTATCACCCAAATTAAATTCTTTTAAAATATTAGGAAACCGGTGATCCACCATCTCGTAAAACGCACGATGGTCGCATTCATAAGTTTTTGTTGTTGGCTAGAAAAGGAACAGAGGTTGATGTAGATGAAGAGTTTTCAGAGAGTATGATACCAATTTACCCAAATCAAACGTCCATATTATTTAAATTTTTTTATACCACAAAATATAATGCAACATTTTGTGATGAACCAGAGATGAAAAGTTTGGGTAATTTCGAGGTTGATTTGCCCGACACTCATTTGGGACTGAATCGTTTTGTGCTCATATCGTTATGCTTCGCATCTATGGAAAGTACTGTCGCAACAGCAAAGAATGAAATTAATGGCAAAGTTTATCGCACGACATTTTCAACTAAATGTTAAAATATTAATATTTGTATTGGTCATATTTTCATAACATTTTTATATCATTATTTTTCATATTATAATAAATAAATAAAGAGTAAATTTAAATTTAAATTCTTGCATTAGGGTTCAAAATTTATATCACTAAAAATTTTTATAAAATTTCTGCATATTCGTCAAATTTTTCGAACGAATAACCAAATATTAGGTAAAATAATAAGATTATTGGGTAATATATGTCAATGCCCTAATCTAATTCTTGATATTGAAAAATAACACGGCTTCTAATAACTAATACTGGAATATAAAAAATTAATGTTTATTAGAAATTAACTATATTGTTTACGTCTTATGTGAACACAGGACATCACTTTCTATTAATGAATATGTACAGTATTAACAAATTTCACTTCATATAAGTGATACATAATTTCTTTCCATGGTGACATTCGACTAAGATACCCGGGTATAATACAAATTTGGGAATTTCAGAGGGTATTATACTATGGGAAAGGGAATACTTTCTTTGGTTTAAGAGGGGGTACAACCTCAAAAATATTTTAACAAACTTAAACACGTCTTAAACAGAGAAAAAAATCATTATTTTGCTCACTTACCTTAGCCCTTTTAGTATAATAATTAATAATATGGTTGTTCAACGAGGTAAAATTAAAGAGCACGAGTGACAGAAAAAAGTAAAGGCAATGATGTGCTCGTGAAAAGTTGCTTTATTAAAACATACTGAACAATGTGGTAGTAAACGTTTAGAATCAAGAAGGTTTAATGTAGAACTAAAACAAATTCGTTATTGGATGAACCAAAAAATCTCAACTTGAAAATGTAGCATCGCATATATAAAAACTCCATAACTGATAAAGATAAAGATGCTGCGCTTCCAGAATTTGAAAAAAATTCTTTTTAAATGGTATCAGATTTGAAAAGCAAAGTTAATTGCTAACGAAAAAAATGGGTAATTCTATATCTGATTATTACTCAATTTAAATTTTCAGAAGCATGGTTAGAAGAATTTAAAAAAGATATAACCTTTCAACAAGAAGAATACATATTGCGCAACATCTTCCTGATGCATCTTATAGAAAACAACAGAATTTCTCAAGTTTCATGATTATAAATCGGCAATATGGGTGAAACACCTGTTACATTTGATCTACCATATTCAACCATCGTGGCACTTCAACTTTTAATATAAGAACTACCGGTCCGGTCATGAAAAAAACAAATTTACAATAAATGTGATAATAGCAATGAAGAAAGTAATAGTCATGGTGATAGCGATAATGAAGTTGAATATGATATTAATGAGTACGAAGAAACAAGATTATGAGAATGAATATGAATAGGCTGAATTTTATTTGTAATACAAGTATTTTGTAGTAAAATAAATCAGTTTTCGTTCAATGTTAAGAATTTAATTTAAATTTTGCATTGTTAAATTTAAAACTTCCAAGTTATTTTTTAAAAAAAAAAATGATATTTTGTTATATTTAATTCGGTTAATATGATAAAGTTCCGAACTAAGACATACCGATATATGAAGTACCTCGGATATAGGGATGGATCGGTCCTGGTAAGACCGGTCTTAGACCGGTTAATAGGAACGGTCCTTGCGGTCCTCGGTCCATATTTTGAGGACCGGTCCGGACCGGTCTTTTATTATTTATACATATTATTTTAA